GGATTTGGCAGCAGAGACCCCTCGAAATGAAGCTTCGCAGCAGCCAAAGGCCTTCTGGCTATCCGCTTGTTCCTCTCTGAGCCTCCCGTGCTCTCCTCGGTGAAGTGAGAGCAATCTCTCCCCCGGAGCCTGGTGGTGGTGGTTAAATCAGGATGTGGAAGCAGCCCTGGCACGCTGCCCGGGGCCTGGCTGGTGCTGCTGGCGCTGATAAAAGCAGCAGCTCCCTCCTCTCCTCTTTGCTTTAAAGATTGATGAGCACCTTCTTGCCTCTAGGGCCACCGAGGGGTGCAGGAGTGGCTCAGCCATGCAGAAGTCCTGACATCCCTGGAGGGTTTGAAGAAAAGGGCTTGGAGAGGAGTAAATAAATGCTTCAGGTCACCTGAAGGTCATGCTTCCCAGGGTTATCACACTTCTTGAAAAGACCTGGAAGGCTGGAAGAGTTCAAAGAGTAAAATGTCTGTCCAGGAATCCAAAGAACTCAAGTCCCAGGAGTGGCTTCTGTTTGTCAAGTATCCTGACCCCTACCTTCTGACCTTAGGCTCCCCATCTATCACAGGAGAGCATGATAGCAATTCTGCAATTTCTTGGGCTTCTTTCTGTATTGACCAGAATTTTGTTCAAATGGAATCTTAGAAAAGAAGTGTACACAAAATCAATTAAAAAGGAGCTGTCATAGATGCAATAAGCCCCTGCCCCACCCTCCTTAGAACTGGGGGCCACGCAGGCCTTGTTCTCTGGTCAATGCACCCCAGGGCCACGTGGGAGCTGTGGGAGGAGAAAGGATACGAGCGACCTGTGGCTCATCCCGGCCCTGGGACCCTCCTCGCAGACCCTCCTCCCACAGGGAGTGACCTACCTTAGTGGCGTGGCCACGTGCCCTCCCTCTGCCAGTACTGACCAGGAGAGCCCAGGGCTGGAGCGTGTGCCAGGGAAAGGCCTGGCCCACAGGCGCAGGTCAAAAGGCCATGCGTGAATTTCGGCAAGTTATGTGACCTGGCCAGCCCCCCCGGGCATCTCCGTGTGTGGGAGGAGAGGTCCCAAAGCTGGCAGGCACCTCACGGGTGGCTTGCTGGGAGAGGGAGAGCTCTCAGTGGGCCTCAGGACCCCCAGAATTGGGGTGGGGGTGGTGAGGGATGGGGGCATGAGAGCTGCCTCTGTGCAGGGCCCTGAGCCCAGACATTTGCCTGGGGCACCCCTGAGAGAATCAGGGTTTGAACTCAGAGGCCTTTACCTCCCTGTGGGGTGGGGTGGAGGCTGGAAAGTTACTGTTAGGCTTTTCCGGCCCTCAGAGCTGGTGTTCCAGTCCTCATCAGGGGTTTGCTACATGACCAAGTTGAAATATGTTAGGATGAATGCTGTGCTGGGGGAATAGATACTCACAGAGCCAGTTTTGCCCAAAACGCTAATTTCAGAAGTGACCGGTTACCTTTGTACAAGCAGTCAGTGCTGCCTCCTACTCTGGGCACTCTAGGTCCCATTCTTCAGGAGTTCCCAGTGTGATGGGGGAATAGCAGTTGGGTATTCCCGACTGCTTGGAGCAGAAGCTGGAGACTGTAGAGGACACAGCAAGGGCAAAGGTCTAGAATGGCAAGGGGTATTCTAGAAGGTAGCCCCATTCCCCAGAGGTGGTCATGCGTGGCCGGAGCTCTCAGATTCTGGGCTCTCCGTTGCTCCTCCACCTCTATAAAAGGCTTCCATGAGAAAGCCATGAGCTGTGGAACTTGGAACGCCTCTCATCAACTAGTCCAGCAGCTTGGCACCTAAATAAATACACGTTGAATGAATGGACTGCATCGCTGCCTTTCAGTTCCAGCCACAGGACTGGTGGAGGCAGATGGCTTCCCATCCCTCCCTGATTCAGCAGACACCTGTCAAGTGAACTCTGCCGGCTCCATGATGGGCATTAACCCAGAACTCGACAGCAAGCCTTTAGGGAAGGCACTCTTACCCCATTTCCCATGTAAGGAAACTGAGACCCAGAGTCAAAGCCACCACAAAGACCAATTTCAAGGTGAAGGGAAACAGCACTCTGCCTTTCAGCCTGGGTCTCCTGGTTCCTAGTCCAGTAATGATCACGCTGGGTGTGGTGGGTGCAGCAGGGGCAGAGATGGGTGCCGTGTGCCTACCCAGGAGCAGGGCCATGCTCCTCCCCTGCATCAAGCATCCAACCACACTGAGTATGAATCCAACTGTGCTGGGCCCCCCATCTTCCCCTGCACATACTGTTCTGTCTACCTGGAATGCAGTCTTGCCACTGCTTCTCCCCTTGGCAGACTCCCTGCATGTCCTTCTCAGCCCAAATCCAGTGTCACCTCCCAGGAACCCACCTTTGATTGATCATCCCAGGTGAAATGACAAGTTTGTCCCTGCAGGGCTCCCATAGTGCCCCAGATGAAGCTTGGATCACACCAGTTTCCCCCTTCCCACCCAGTGGACCTGATGCTTTTCCTTGATGTCAGGAACAGGGCCGGGAATATGAATCACTGAGCCTTTTAGTAGGTCCTGATGCAACAGCCTGCCCGGGTGGAGTGCATATAACCCCGTGGTTGGGTGGGCAGTTTTTCTAAAGCAGAGTTTGACCTTGACAGGTGGCAGCCCGCACTCCCAGAGGCACAGCTGCTCAGTGGGGCCCCCAAGACTGACTTCAGAGGCCCAGAGACCCCTGGCACATCAGAGCCAGACTGAGATAGGGCCTGTAGTAATAGTACAGATCCCCCGCAGAGCCCTTCCTGCGGTGTCATTCAGGCAAGGGCGTGATTTTTACCAGATCCGCATATCATCTGTATCATTTTTCACTTATGTTTGTTTAAATTGCTGTGTTCTAAATAATATGAAAACACAAGACTTGTAAAAATATTTTTGAATAGGTGATACATTCATGTGATACGAAGTGACAAAATGTACAAAAGGATGGAAGATGAAAATTTTTCCTTCTACCCTGCCTCTGCCACCCAGATCCCCAAGATACACTGCTACCTTTCTTGTACATTCCTTTAAATAAATAGGTATGTATATTCTCCCCCTCCCCAGCCTTTTTTTCCTCCACGCAAAAGGTAGCATACAACACACTGTTCTGAAGCCTTGCTTCTTAATTATAACAAGAGGAATAGGCCAAACCTCTACCTAAAGAGCTTTCTTTTTTAGGTACCCTATTATATAGCTATGCCACATTTCTTCGAATCATAGGTTTGCATTGCTAGTTTTCTGTTTATTCTTGTGTGTACCAGGAAAATACATATCTTGAATACCATTAGTATCAGATGATGGCCAACCTCAAGGCCGACCCCAAGCTGATGCCTATGACTCACGGGCGGAAAGCACCCATGTGTGGGCTTCAACAGCCACTGTCACGCCCTCCTGTCCTCGGGATATCTTCTTCCTTAGTCCCAGTGGTCACTCTGGGAGTTGGGCTCGGCTGAGCCCCTTCCCAGAGGAGGTCTATCCGGTGCTCACGCCCCACTTGGAGCCAACAGTCCAGGGTCTGAAGACTCCCTAAGCAGCTGAGAAGAGGCTCTGGGAGTGCTAGGGCATGCTGGACAGGGTGGGCCGAGAGGGACCGGATTGAAAAAGAGTGCAGGCTGCCAGGAGGAAAGCCCCACTGTCTAGGATGAATGACCAGAGCTGGGCCAGAAAGGGGCCATGGGAAGCGAGGACCCAGCTCCCACTCCCCGCCCCCTGACAAGAGATGGGCTCTGAACTCCAGCCGGCCAAAGCCTCCTTCCTCTTTCTCAGCCTCTGACGTGAGAACCTTGGCTTTTGCAATCGTTGGTCTCACGGCTTCTGGAGATTGAAAAGACCATACTAGGAACGTGTCTAGTTAACACCTAAACCCAGCAATATCTGTGAGGATCTTGAAGTCAGAGCTGCTTCTGGGTTCTGGGAGGGGAAGGGAGGCCGAGGCCTATAGCGAGGCCGTGGCCAGGCTGAGGCTCTCCCCTCCGCAAGTACGTGTGGCTCCGGATCTGTGCCTCTACCCCTCCCCTCCAGTGCCAACTCCAGTGTGTGATGCCCCTGGTGAATACCCGTTGTTTCTTTGGCGTCCCTCCCTCCCACCCCCAGGCTCCGTCCTTTCAGTCAGTTAAGAGCCTGCCTTAACTGGCTTCTTCATTTTACAAGGGAGAAAAAAAAAGTTCTCTCACTTTCTCTAGCAAGGCACCTCACTCACCCAGGCCCTCCTGCTGGCTGGCCTCCTCCCTGCCTGCCACCTTCCTGCCCTTGGCTTCTGGGAGACACAAACGCACCGCCCTTTTTCTGCCCCAGCCCTTTGCCCATTGGAAACGCCTTGACCCAGGACTCTACTCACCTTGTGTCACGTTACTTTAGCAAAGCACATTCCTGGCTGGTATGTCATCTGTGTCCAAACAACCCGGGAAGCTTGTGGTCTCGGGATGGTTGTCCTGAGCTTCAGTCTGGTTCTCTGCAACCCCCTGAGTGAGTTGGAACTGGTCTCTACCTTGGTATCTGCTCTGTGACTAGACGCAAGGGTTTGCAGCTAACAGGGCTCGGGAAGAGTAGGGATGGGGATCTACCTGGTGGAATTCACAGCGCAAGGAAGTCAGTGGACTGGAATTAGAAGCCTGCATCTTCGGCTCCAAATCCAGGGTACTTCCCCCACCCATCTATGCTGCTCTTCCCACATCACTGGGCACCCCCTTGCCTTGGGTTCCTGGGCCTCTTAATCAGAATCTGGGGCCACCTCAACCCCAGGATTCACCAGGGCAATGAGGTGAATGCCAGGCCCTGGCTTCAGAGAGAGAGAAGACCCTAATTCCCCTCTCCCCAGGAATGAGTCTGGCCAGCCCCGTGTCTAGAAGTTGGCAGGGCTGGTTTGGGCACCTGAGGTCAGGAAGTGGCCAAGTTTCTTGGGAGAAAGGCTGGTGTGGTGCCAGGAGTCAGGCAAGATATCTGAACGGGAACCTGTCAGCCAAGCCCTGCCCTCTAGTAACCTGGGCCCCAACATGCCTGTAACAGTGTGGGTTTTTTTTTTTTCCCCTCTGCAGAAGCTGACGGGCCGCCTCATGCTGGCCGTGGGAGGGGCAGTGCTCGGCTCCCTGCAGTTTGGCTACAACACTGGAGTCATCAACGCTCCCCAGAAGGTGAGTGCTGTCCCGTCCTTGGCTTCTCAACACCAGCAGGCTCTGCTGTGCACCCTCACCACACCCCGCCCACATACACGCTCACCCTGCCTCTTGGATGTTGGAGACATCTCTAGCGAATATTCTGACCCTGAACGGGTTAGAGACTTGTAGCTTTGGCTTTGGAATCTTAAGGCCCACAGAGTCACGGGATCTTTATAGATCATCTCGACCAACCTCCCCCACAACATGGACATTTGTAGAACTCAGAGCCGTGCTCCATGTAGTGATGCATTCACGTGGCCCTGGGGTTACAGAGGCTGCCTTGGTGATTCTCTCACTTGCTGCTCACACTGCACTGTAAGGCAGGCAGGCAGGTAGCCATGCCCACTCCCACCCTGCAGGTGTGGGGAATGGCCAGAGCCCGCCCGGCATCACCAGCTAGTCAGGGATGGAGCCAGGATGCAACATCAGTCTGCCTTGGTGGCCTCCTCTCCAGGTGGTCCCTGAACCCATGCTCTCACCCGTGCACACGTGGCACACTCCCTTGTAAGGGAGCCCACTCTAGGCTGAAACTGCCTGTCTCCCTGCAGGCCCCAGGGCCAGGCAAAGCAAAAATGGCTTCTTTTCCTAGGAACCAGGGCAGGGTACCTATCCACTTAGTCCCTTCTCCCCACAACACACCCCAGATCTGTTCTCACTTGTTCACTTGAGTGTCCGGACAGGGAGGGACCCCAGTGAGCACCTCCAGCCTAGCCAGCCCACTGCTTTAGGGAGGAGGGGAAAGGAAGGGGGCCAGAGAGGAGACTGTGACAAGTCCCTCCTCTATACCAGACCTGCTGTGTACATTCATAACATCGGGCTGTGATTTCCACTTTATAGACCTGAAAACCACGGTTCAGTGCAAATGAAATGACCAGGGGGCTCAAGGTCACATAGTTAGGGGATGTGGAGTCAGAAGCTAAACTCTCTTGTTTACACAATCTCAGGCCGTCTTCCTGACCAACCACCTTGTCAGTTTAAAAGTCCATACCTTTCCCGGGCAGGACGAAATGAGAGTTGACAAGTCCTCTGAACACATTCATGGTCTAGATGGGCGAGGCCAGAAAGTGAGTGTGGCTGGCTTCTGAGGATCCAGGCCTGTTTGGGGGAGTGGGGTGGTGACCAGGAGTCAGAGTGGGGCCTCCTCCAAAGAGGCAGAGAGTAGCAGCGGGGGCCACGCCCAAAGCTGGGGAACAGGTCACCAGCAAGGCTGGGCCTGCTGAGTCACGCTCAGCTGCAGTGGAAGTGATGGGGCTTTTCCATGGGCGACCTCGGGCCCATGCTTGGAACAGTCCCAAGCCTGCTTTTGCTAAGTGCTCTGAGCAGATCTGCCGAGGTGTGTGCCCTGGAGTTGGCTCCCTTTGGGAATCCTTTCAGATACAAAGTGTGTACTGTCTTAAGAGGGAGGTTGAGTTCTCCATTTGACTGCACACTGGAGTCCCCTGACAACTCACCGTCTGATCTCATTGGTCTGGGATGCTGTCTGGGCATCAAATTTTTAAAGCTCCCCAGCTGGTTCTCATGTACAGTCAGAGATGAGCAGTACTGGGTTAAGTGATCACACTATGTCAGGAGTGATCACTTGACTGTGATCACATGGGGAGTTACACAGAGTGACAGAACTAGGACTCTGGGAGCAGGATAGAGGAGTTTTTCAGAAACAGAACAGGTTTGTAGCAAGCAGGGGCCCACAAAGATGGGAAGAAAGTGCCCAGAGGAGAGAAAGTCTCTGTGTCACCAGGGTAGAATGGGAGGAGGCAGAAGGATGGGAGGCTGACGAGGTGAGCCAGAAGCAGACCACAGAGGGCCCTTGTGGTCGGCAGTTTCATATGCAGAATCTCCAGCCCCCGGCAGGGCAGGGCACAGTGAGAATGGGCCCGTGGGCACCAACACGGAGGCCGAGCTGGGGAGGGTGGCCTTCAGGGTGAGGACAATAGGGTCCCATTGAAGAGGACAGAGAGGGTCAGATTTGCATTTTAGGGAAATGATTCAGGCGTCTGGTGCAGTGGGCTGGGTCTGAGAATGTGAGACTGGAGACGAGGAAACAGTGAGAAGGCAGCTGTTGTAAGAGGGTTAGAAAAACGAACACTGAGTATGAAGAATGGGCAGGAGCTGGTCATTGGTTCAGCCTGAGGATGGGAGAGTGGGGTTTAAAACTGGCTTCTAGCTGTGACTGACGTTGGGGCTGGAGGAAGAGCAGGTAGGTGCTGTGGGACACGCAGGACCTGAGGTTTGGTGACACAGCATACAAACACTTGGACACGGGGGTCTGTTTCTTCAGAGGGTAGCCAGGGGAAGAAAGCCAACAGGTGGGTCACTGGTATCCAACTAGTGGTAGAGAAGGATCTCCTGGAGGGACTGTGAATAAAAAAGAGAAGTGAGGGGCAAGCCCGGGGCAGCACCCCCACTGATAGAAGGTCCTGGGAAGGAGGAGGAAGAAAGCTGGCACCTCCAAGCTGGGAGACAAGACCCTCCTGAGCCAGAGAAAGAATGTAAGCGCCTGAGGACGAGGGTCCACGGTCCCTAGAGCAGTGCCCATCGGTAGGAACAGGCACTCAGATGTGGACAACTGAAGGAATGCTGTTGGGCTCCAGAGGCTGACCCGGGCACAGCAGCCAGTGTGGCTGAATGTAGAAGACCCGATGGTGGCCCTGCGTTGCCAAGGCTGATGGGGCGGAGTCCTGTGGGTAGAAGCCCCCTGCAGTGGGCTGAAGAGGGAGGTGGGAGAGAGCAGAGACGGCCCTTCCCAGGGACTGGTGGAGAAGGGGGAAAGGAGTGGTCACCAGAGGGGTTGTGGGGCTAGGATTTTTTCCTTTTCTAATACAAAGACTTCATTTTTAAAGGGATTGTCAGGAATCCGTGGAGGAAAGGGTGAAGCTGGGGTCGGGGCTGGGGGTGGGGGTCCTTAATGAGACACGTGGTGGTGGAGCAGAGGCAATGAGGTTGCACTTGGCCGGAAGGGACTAAGACACTTCTGAGGGTGCAGGTGTGGACAAACCCAGAGTGACGTCCTCCAGTTCTTGGGGCCTCCCATCTAATCAGCTACCGGTGAAAGGTGAGAATTTCAGTGGCAGACGGGCGGGACAGCGGGCAAGGAACCTGGAAGCCTAATGGGCAGCACAGAGGCCCAGTTGTAAACGTTCACGGGAGCACTTGCGGGCACCTGTCTAAAGGTCACTTGGGCAACCAGCCTGTGGGGACTCAGGCGAGAGACCTGAGTGGTGTTTCGAGGGGGCGCGTGCTCGGGCACTCCGCCTGTTTACTCTTGTGCTTTACAATCAACCTCTCATAAGTCTGGCTGTAGATTTTCTCAACCAGGAGCAAATGTGATAAACTTTAGTGAAGAGGGGCGAGGATGACACCAGAGTGGGAGATGACAGCAGGGCTCAGAGGCGACGGTCCTGCTTGGGGAGGCACCAAAGCCATCATCCTAGGACGGCACAGGGTGCCAACATCATTCCACAGGGACGGACCAGCATTCTCGACTTGAGGCGGGATGAGCTGTGAACACAGCAGAGACCTCCTAGCCATCAGGGAACTGCCTGACACAGGGTCAGAGCTGGGCCCTGTCCTGCCCTCCAAAACCATCCAGAGGGCGAGGGTGGGGTGGGGTGGGGAGACCCCTTGGGAACAGCGGGAGTATTAATAGTGGAGGGCTCCTTGGTGCTATGGGAACAGAGAGAAAGGAATGACTAATGCTGGGGGTAGGGCTGACGGGAGAGACAGGAAGGGCTTAACGAAGGAGCTGGCAGCTGTGCTAGACCTTGGAGGACAAACCAGCCCCAGGGGACAGATGGGCAGGAATCGCAGGCCTGTGCACAGATGCGGTGGCGTGAGGTGTCCTGCTGACGGCCCACGCCATGAGACCGGTCACTCGTGTAGAAGCTCCTCTCTTAGGAAAACTGCCACGCTGGCCAGGGTGGCCTGCTCACCAGAGGATACCTTGCCCCACCAGAGGTGAGAATGCCAGTGCTGCTGTTAATTACCAGGAGCTCGGTCTCCCCTGTAAAACAGGCCCCAGAGGGCTTCTTCCTGGAAGTGGTTAATTAATCATAACATTATCTTAAATGTTTACAAAGCACCTCCTCATAAATTATCTCCCCACAGTAGCCCCACATGGTGGGTGGGGCCAAGGTTATCTTCCCGCTCATAAAGGAGGCCTGGAGGCTGGGTTGAAGGCACCCAGGGAGTGAGACGCTGAGCTACAGATGGACGCCAGGCCTCCTGCCTCTCCCGGGGTGGAGGGGAGCGTAGCCACACAGAGAGCAAACAAACGAGCAAGGGCATCCTGACCACCACACTGGGTGGAGAGAACCGCCTCTCCCCTCCCCAAACGGCTGAGCTGCCAACAGAGATGACTGAAGGCCATTGAGGAACCTTGAGTTCCTGGCCAGGGGACAGTGTCAGGCAGTCTGAGGCACCCTCAGAAAAAAGACCGTTTGGGCTGGAAGGGGCCTGGCGGGCCGTTGGCTCAACGTTCCTTGTTTGCCAAAGGAGGAACTTGGTCTAGAGAGCAGGCAAGGTCTGCCCAGGACAGCCGAGCTTGGTGAGTGAAAGTACTTGCAGGCAAGACGGACTTCCCAACCCAGGCCCCAGGCAGCATCTCCTCCTGGATCCAAAGAGCTCTGGGCCCCTCTCCCCTCTGTTCATCTCCATTTACACAGACTCTCACAGCTTATAGCTCACTGCACCAGGTGTTGTTCCAAATGCGTTAGAAATAGTAATTTAATTGTTACTTGCAATAACTCCATTAGGTAGACACAGTAACCCCTGTTTTATAAGAAACTGGGGAACAGAGATGTTAAGCAATTAAACCAAGAACTCCCAGCTAGTGATAAAGCTGGGATTTAAATCCAGGAAGCCTGGCTCCAGCCTGCGTTCTTGACCACCCGTAGAAGAAAAGGCAGTTGCACTTACAGACGCCGAAACACTCTTACATGCCAACAACTGCTACCAGCTGCTCCTCCTGCTCTGACTTC